TCAACAGCTCGTTAAAGTAACAGAAATTACGAACAATATCATCAATTTTGACTATCATTATCAGAGACACTCGAGCTTCGCTAACATCAGCGTCCACCAAGTCTATTGACTCGTTCATGCTCCTACCCTCCCCAGAATCTGCACAACAATGTTGGAAAATATTTTCATTTTCCTCAGTAGACTTCCTCACTAATTATACAACTTTACACACGAATTCGGGTACGAGTGTACAGAAACCAATAAAATTTCTTCACAATTGTCAACAACACATGTAGTTGAGCATGTACATATCCCCCCCTTACCTTCATCTCGGCTACCCAACTGGGCATCCCCCTCATCCGGCCACCCCACAGGAGTCGATGCCCCCACCCACTTGGTGTCACTAACAGTAGGTGAGGTTACCCAACCCCCATCCTCATCCTGCCCAGACGGCCACTCCACTAACCCACCGACGCCGCTACTGCTGTTGTTGTTGTTGCCTCCCTGCCCCTCTACCACAGGCCAACCACCTGGCGTACCCTCAGAGTCCATCCAATCGCTCGGGACGGGGCCTGGCCATTCAGGTGTCGGCGCCCTTCCCGTCGGTGACCGAGACGTATCGTGATGCGAACCAGCTTGAAAGAACTCTGGTGAGTCTAAGGAGTCGTCTCCTAGCATAGCCCCAGTCGACGGGGTGGTAGAGGCAGCAATAGGCAGCAGAGACGATGATGTTGATGGTAGAGAAACTCCCGAACGACCTGAGACCATATGTCAACTAGGCCTCACTATACACTCTCGATAAGACATGTATCATCACCGCCTTCCTCCACACTCCTCGGTACAGCTATGGTCCCTCCCAGATCCAACTTCATGCCCCTAGACAAACGCCATCTAGATAGATAAGCCTCTGCAGCTGGGGACTCCACTGCTAGCCTCGACACTTCCTGATACGCAGTAATGAGCGGAGCGATGCTACAATGACACCAACCTTGTCGTTGTCTTCGAGTGATAGGACTATCTCGGCTATTTGAGGTCGACACCTGATACAAGATATTCGTGGTAAAAACGACATCTGTGGGATTCGAACCAGAGACCTCCTACCCCATAGACCTCCCTCCCTCTCCTGCCAGACACTTCTCCACAGCTTCCTTCTCGCATACCAGGGCATCAGCAATAACTCCCTTCCCCCCCAGTTGGCCCAATGCCCTACTCAGCTCGAGGACTGCGTTCGCCAACAGTGAACACCGAGGATGCCGCGCTATCGTAGCATCCAACGCAGCAACCATAAACTCCTGGTCCACGAGTTTATCGAGCTGACCCTCGCCATCTGACGCCGCTACTTCATTCGAGCAAGCTGTCATTGCTGTCGTGACAAGACATATAACCTGTCGAGAGTATCCACGCCACACGAGATGATCCTCCCTACCTCAGTGAGCAACTCCACATCTTCCTCAGCCCCCTTGCCCTCTACTATCATCCTCAACTCATCTATCTTTGCATATACACATTCAGCGACCCTTCGAGATGCTGCCGAAGACATAGCACTGTCGACAACAGTAGGAACCCCACTACCACTCGGTGTGGATGCCTGACACATACACTCGATGACTTCAGCGTAAACCACTTCCTTAATAAAGCAAACAGAAGAGTAAATGATACCATCCATCCTCCAACACAGCCGAA